TCTTTACATCTGTACGAGCAAAATACTACTCTACGTAGAGGGTGCATGTCCTGGAGGTGACCACTAGGGGCGCACTTTATCAAATTAATGAGCTTTCATGTACGTAATCCTGGTCAGCTCGGGCTGCCAATTCATCGGCGTGATGCTTGTGGGAATGGCGCCCAGGAGGCGGTCGCAAGAGTGGCGAGGCCTTTCATCGCCGCTTGCGGCTTTAATTAACTTTAATTAAATTAACTTTACTTATTTACTATTTTCTGTGTTTATGGTGCTTAGCTCATTTTAATATATTGAGCCCTGTGATTGGGTACTTGTGCTCATTGTGTCTGTTTCTGCTCAGGGTCTGGTCCGGGCGTGGCTTCTCGTGGTGGGGGATTTGGTGATAGAGTTGCCCACTGCTGCACCATCACTCCTTTTGAATGCCGTGGTATTTTGCACCGCCCTTCACCACTTGTACATTTTCAGTTTGCCTCTTTTCTTGATTTGGTGTGTGTATGAATGTGTGGCATGGAGCGTAGTGAGTGCTCTATTCCAGCCCCTTAGTCCTCCATCGTGTGCGGCCGCTACAGGCCGGCCCTGAGTGTTGTCTTTTCTTTCTGGTTAACAATGGAGCACATATTTTATAATTCTTGATATTTTTAATGATTACATTTAATACATCCATCCATTTTCTTCCCCTTAATCCATTTCTGGGTCAGGGGGGTGGCAGTCAGAGCTGCACCCAGTACACATAGCACCAGCCCCTCACTGATCCTCCTGCAGGTGGTGAGTCCACAGGAGCTGATCTTTCAGTTGGGGCTTTGGGCAAAGTAGGGTTAAGTGTCTTGCCCAAGGACACAACGACAGCAGTCATCAGTGGGAGTCATGAAGTAGGTCTTACGGTGGGCTCAAACCCACGACCTTCAGGCCCAAAGGCCAATGCTCTACCAACTGAGCTACAGTCGCCCAATATTTAATAGAATGAAATAAAAACATATTTTAGGTCTCATTTACCAATAAATTGCTCGAAATTGTATAATTGGTGTCTGGTCAATTACTTGTTGCATCCCACCATTATTCTAGGGCCCTGCGGTCACACTTGCATAATTGCATGTAAATTGATTGAACGGTGTAGGTCCCATTCACCCGATTTGTCTTCTCATTCTACCCCTTAATCCCTTTCTGGGTTGGGGGGCTGGCCAGAGATGCCACCCAGTACACAAGGTCAAGGTCAAGGTCAAGTTTATTTATAAAGCACATTTAAAACAACAATGCTGCCCAAAGTGCTGTACACAAAAATACATGTATATAAAATACACAATTTGAATATAATAAAATTAAAATACAGATGCGGAAAAACAAAATTCAACACCAGCAAAAAAAAAGTCCTGCTCAGTTTTAATTAAAGGACTTCGCAAACAAATGGGTCTTCAACATAGACTTAAAAATGCCTAAAGACTGGGCTGCCCTAATATTTAAGGGGAGACCATTCCAAAGCGTCGGAGCCGCGACAGCAAAAGCCCGGTCTCCTCTGGTCGACATTCGTGACCTCGGTACGTCTAACAGAAACTCGTTAGCTGACCTCAATGTTCTGCTCGGAGTATGAACAGACAGAAGCTCCGAAAGGTACGCAGGAGCCGTCCCATTCAAACACTTAAACACCAACAACAGCATTTTAAACTGAATTCTGTATTTTACAGGGAGCCAATGTAAAGAGGCCAACACAGGGGTTATATGTTCAAACCTTTTGGTTCCCGTGAGCAGACGCGCTGCAGCGTTCTGTACCAACTGCAGGCGATGGATCGAGCTTTGGTCTAGCCCACAATACAACGAGTTACAGTAATCCAAGGGGCATGTTATAAAGGCATGAATCACACTCTCCAGATCTCTATGTGGTAAATACGGCTTAATTTTACTCAGAAGACGCAGTTGGTAAAAACTTGACTTTACAACTGAACCTATTTGCTTGTCCAACTTAAAAGATCCATCTAGGACCACACCAAGGCTCCTGGCTGACTGGTGACAGTAGCCTTTTAGTGGGCCAAGAACAGATGGATCAGACAAATTTCCAAAAACGACAATTTCCGTTTTAGATTCATTAAGTTTTAGAAAATTCTGGGCCAACCAGTCCTTTACATCCTGAATACAATGTAACAGAGCTTGGATGCCGTCTGAACCTGGTTTCAATGGCAGATAGGCTTGCAGGTCGTCTGCAAAACAATGAAAGGGAATCTTATGTTTTTTGAAAATAGATCCAAGGGGCACTCCCCCCTGGACTGCCACCTTAACGTGGTGGGGGAGTTTGAGTACTCGGATGATCCTGGGAGCTATGCTGTCTGGGGCTTCATGCCCCTGGTAGGGCCTCCCATGGCAGACAGGTCTCAGGTGACGAGTCAGACAAAGAGCAGTCCAGAAGACACCATGGACAACACTAATATGAAAACAGTAACGTCGCCCGGCATGGCGCAGCCGGGGCCCCACCCTGGAGCCAGGCCTGGGGTCGGGGCCCGTATGCGAGCGCCTGGTGGCCGGGCCTTAGCCCACGGGGCCCGGCCGGGCTCAGCCCGAAGGGATGACGTGGGCGGTCCCTCCTGTGGGCCCACCACCTGCAGAGGGGTCCGTGGTGAAGCGGTGCTGAGAGGACTGGGCGGCAGTCGAAGGCGGAGACCTCGGCGACCCAGTCCGCACACACAACATCTGGCTCTTGGGACGTGGAACGTCACCTCACTGGGGGGGAAGGAGCCCGAGCTCGTGGGGGAGGTTGAGCGATACCGACTAGAGATAGTCGGCCTCACCTCCACACACAGCTTGGGCTCTGGAACCCAACTCCTTGAGAGGGGTTGGACGCTCCACTTTTCTGGAGTTTCCCGCGGGGAGAGGCGGCGAGCTGGGGTGGCCATTCTCATTGCCCCCCATCTCAGCCGCCACGTGTTGGAGTTCTCCCCGGTGAATGAGAGGGTCGCGTCCCTCCGCCTCCGGGTGGGGGACAAGTCTCTCATTGTTGTGACGGCCTACGGGCCTAACAGCAGTGTAGAGTACCCGGCCTTCTTGGAGTCCTTGGGAGGGGTACTGGACGGTGCACCGCCCGGGGACTCCGTTATTCTCCTGGGGGACTTCAACGCCCATGTGGGAAACGCCAGTGACACTTGGAGAGGGGTGATCGGGAAGAACGGCCCCCCTGATCTGAACCCGAGCGGTGCTCAGTTGTTGGACTTCTGTGCCAGTCACGGTTTGTCCATCACGAACACCATGTTCGAGCACAAGGGTGTCCACCAGTGCACGTGGCACCAGGACACCCTAGGCCGGAGGTCGATGATCGACTTTGTTGTCGTATCATCTGACCTTCGACCGCGTGTCTCGGACACTCGGGTAAAGAGAGGGGCGGAGCTGTCAACCGATCATCACCTGGTCGTGAGTTGGATCCGCTGGCAGGGGAAGAAGCCGGTCAGACCTGGCAGACCCAAGCGTATAGTGAGGGTCTGCTGGGAACGTCTCGCTGAGCCCCCTGTCAGACGGACTTTCAACTCACACCTCCGGGAGAGTTTCTCCCAGGTCCCGGCGGAGGAGGGGGACATGGAGTCCGAGTGGACCATGTTCTCTGCCTCAATCGCCGATGCGGCGGCTCGTAGCTGTGGTTGCAAGGTCTCTGGTGCTGGTCCCGGCGGCAACCCCCGAACCCGGTGGTGGACACCGGCAGTAAGGGATGCTGTCAGGCTGAAGAAGGAGTCCTATCGAGCCATGATGGTTCGGGGGACTCCTGAGGCAGCTGTCCAGTACCGGCAGGCCAGGCGTGCCACGGCCCGGGCTGTTGCAGAGGCAAAAACCCGGGACTGGGAGGAGTTTGGAGAGTCCATGGAGCATGACTATCGGTCGGCCTCGAAGAGATTCTGGCAAACCATCCGGCGCCTCAGGAGGGGGAAGCAGTTCTTTGCCAACACCGTGTACGGTGCGGGTGGAGGGCTGCTGACCTCGACTGGGGATATCGTTGGGCGGTGGAAGGAATACTTTGAGGTTCTCCTCAATCCCCCCGTCACGTCCTCTGTTACAGAGGCAGAGGCTGAGGATGTTGGGGCGGGTACATCCATCTCCCTGGCTGAGGTCACCAAGGTGGTTGGTAGCCTCCATGGTGGCAAGGCTCCGGGTGTGGATGAGATCCGCCCTGATTATCTAAAGTCTCTGGATGTTGTAGGACTGTCTTGGCTGACACGTCTCTGCAACATCGCGTGGCGATCGGGGGCAGTGCCAATGGAGTGGCAGACCGGGGTGGTGGTCCCTCTCTACAAGAAGGGGGACCGGAGGGTGTGTTCCAATTATCGTGGGATCACACTCCTCAGCCTCCCCGGTAAGGTCTACTCCAAGGTACTGGAGAGGAGGTTACGGCCGATGGTCGAATCTCGGATCCAGGAGGAGCAGTGTGGTTTTCGTCCCGGTCGCGGAACACTGGACCAGCTCTATACTCTCCATCGGATACTCGAGGGTTCATAGGAGTTCGCCCAACCTGTCCACATGTGCTTTGTGGATTTGGAGAAGGCGTTCGACTGTGTTCCCCGGGGTGTCCTTTGGGGGGTTCTCCGGGAGTACGGGGTCGGAGGTCCTCTGCTGAGGGCCATCCGATCCCTGTATGACCGAAGCCAGAGGTGTGTTCGCATTGCCGGCAGTAAGTCAGACCTGTTCCCGGTGAATGTTGGCCTCCGACAGGGCTGCCCTTTGTCACCGGTTCTGTTCACTGTATTTATGGACAGAATATCTACACTGTAAACCCTAACTTCATTCTTACTTCAGATAATAAAGTGGTTTTAAATTGATTTTTCCTAATAAGTAAAAGTTACTTGTCCATCGTTAGTTTATTTAACGTTTGGTTAAAACACTTGGAGATTTGTTTGACATGAACTGTCTCTGTTCAAGTAAGCATCACTTTTAGACATTTTGAGCATGTACCATGCCTATGCAACAGGTGGCGATACGAAGCACAGAAGGGGCCTAGTTAACCATTGGTCGCGTTGTTTTAGAAACAATTGGTGCGCATGCGCAAACTGCACAACGTGGTCGGGTCGGGTCAGATTGAATGTGGATTCAGGTGATACGGTAGGTGACATTTTTCATGCATGTAAGCTGCCTTTTGTTCGGATACGTCTACTTATGAACCTTCTGTTACAAGATATATGTGTAAGAGAAGCCATTTAAGCGCATGTTTTCTAGATTTTTGTGTTATTACTGCTGTCTCGTTTTTTCGGCGGCGCCATTTTGTCTAAAATTCTGCAGCAAACATACAAGTAAACGCTGTACATTGTGAACGCTTCACTCTTAAGGTGAATGTTCACATTTTAAATCTGTTTAGGATTTGCACAAGGTGTGTATGTCTATTCTTGAACATTCACCATCAAGTCAATGAGTGATTTACATTGACTCTGTCTTTGATGGACGTGTGGTTCTTCAACTGCGGTGTAGTTTACCTAACGTAACATATCTTACGTGCTCACACTGCGTTTCTGGCTGCGTATATGCATTTCTGACTACTTTCTCGGCTGCTTTTGACGTGTTTTGTTCTCTTCTGATCATGGCGCCTCAGTCCCCGAGACGACCACGTTAAAGTGGCCCGGGTTTTGCTGTCCGCGTTAAAGTGGCCCGGGTTTTGCTGTCTGCGGTAAAGTGGTTCGCACGTTAAAAGTTGGTGGCCCCTTTATTCTGTTACTTATGGCATACATGGAAATGGAAGCCGCGGGGATAAGCAACAAATGCAGTTTTAAAGAGTTTTGCGACTACTTTCACTGCACACTTGTTCATTGAAAAGCCGGGCCACATTACCGCGGTCCGAGACGCTAGTGGGAAAGTGCACAAATGGCTGCAAATTGCTTAAACGGGGTTCACTTTAATTCGATAGAAAGTAATTGGAGTTATTATTTGTAATTTGATTATTTTATTTGTTTATTTGTTAAAAGTGAATTCAATGCTAATGCATTATTTATTTTTCAGGTGCAGAGTCCAAGGAAAATGCAATGGACTTGTAAGTTTTGTACCTTTGTTGCATCTAGACGAGGGGAATTATTCAAACACCTCAGAGTAAACCATGGAGGCTTTACAAGATCCAATCCTATTTGTTGTCTTCACCAGGAGTGCATTGTCACTTTCAAGTCGTTTAATGCCCTCAGAATTCATTTGACTAGACACCATTCTTTGATCTCTACTGGCCAAGTTGACACTCAAAAGTTTAACTGCACACTGTGTCAGTCTACAGAAATTTGTGGAAAAAATGATTTTTTTTCTCATTTACGTTCATATTTAAAACTTTTTCAAAATGTTACTTGTCCCTACCTGGATTGTGACTTTGAGACAAATAACTACAACACATTTAACTCCCACAAAGCCAGAAAACATGGCAAAGGAAGTGACGCATCAAGTCACATCTTCAAACCCATTATCTCTGTGACGGAATGTGAGGTGGAAGGCTCCTTGGTTTCAGCGGAAGATGATTTGGATTGTTTGGAGACGCAGCTCAGTAATTCTGACAATTTTACAGAGCTGAACTCTTGTCTTGAACACAATCTGGCAGGCTTATTTCTGAAAATGCAAACAATACTTGGAGTATCTGACATTGCTATTCAAGAAATCATTCAGGAATTGAGACAGTTGCATACATTGTCTGAACCTCTGTTGTATTGTGTTATCAGAGACTCACTGAAGACATTTCCTGATATTGATATGGAAATTGTGAAGAACCTTGTTAGTGCAGTGAGTGAGTCGAATGTCTTTTTAAAGCACACTTCCTCCAATGGTTCTCTTTCAACCTTTAAAAGAAGAGAGAATTTTCTCAAGAAAGAGTTTGTCATTGTTGAACCTCTAGAATTTGTAATAGATGAACAAGGATCAAATGTTATGTACGTTCCACTTCTTGATATGCTCCAGGCTTTGCTGAACAAAGATGATGTTCTTGAGAAGGCAATGTCTCGACCCATTAGCTCTGACAAAAAATACAGTAGTTTCAGAGATGGCTCATGCTTTAAAGAGAATGCAATTCTTTCAGAAAATGAGTTCACACTTTCTATTGGACGATATGTTGACGATTTTGAAGTTTCAAATCCCCTTGGGACATCAAAGAAGAAACAGAAGTTGTGTGCAGTATATTGGACTCTGGCCAATCTGGAACCTAAATATCGGTCCTTTTTGCATGCAATACAATTGGCACTTTTATGCAAAGTTGTCACTGTGAGAAGTAATGAATACCAAAAAATCTTGGAACCTCTCATTCACGACTTGAAAATTCTTGAAGAAAAAGGAGTTTTTATTGAGAAGTTGGGAGCAACCGTGAAGGGCACTGTGGCTTTTGTTGCTGCCGATAACTTGGCTGCTCATGGATTGGCAGGCTTCACAGAAAACTTCAGTGCAGGAAAGATATGCAGATTTTGTTTAGCCTCTCAACAAGATATTCAAACAAGAAGCGCCATTGCAGGTTCTTTTCAATCAAGAACCAAATCTCTACACAATGAACATGTTCAAGAGGTAAAGCTGGACCCCACTAAAGTATCCCTGTATGGTGTGAAGACTAGTTG